TATCAAATATATCAAATATGTCTGACATTTAGATCTGCAATATGCTGCGCCACGTTCGTCAATCCAATCCTGTTACAGTACTTATCTTATCAGATAATTTTTTATTAAAAGAGTTTGAAATAGATGTTTGTGATAAATAACATAATATTTTTAGCTTGATATATTCAGATTTACAAATTACTCAGAGTGACATTAGATAAATACTGCAATATATCTTTATATATCATCATTCTTGCTATCTTATCTTTAGTTTTACTAACAGCTGTAATAATCTTAACTTTTCTTCAAACTTAAAGAAATAATGATATAAGCATAAGATTCCTTTTAAACCCATTCTTATAGTCTCATCAATCCAATAAGCTAATATCTTCATAGAACCCTCAATCGTATTGTTTAAGATAGACTCATTATGTAATTTAACTGAAGAAATAGGTCTAAAAAGATCACACTTTAAAATTTGTTTAGTAACTTGATTTCTATCAACATTCTCGCTATAGGTACAAGTAATATTATAATCTGTGCTAAGTGATAATTTTAAACTTTGATAATTACCAATTATAACGTTTTTTTGTCATGTGATAATTTTGAATCTACTACAATTTTTGTATTAAGTGATAAAGTCAGAAGCAATGTTCTGGATTTGATTTTGAAAAATTACATTAGTTTGAAAATTTAATTTAAGATCTTTAAAATTTGTTCCTATTGTAACTTTGTATGAGACCCACCAGGTATAATAATCCATTTCTAATCTAACACGTAGCCAAGTAAATTGGGTGGTTGCATTAGCACGTAGCCTAACCCCATACTTTGAATTTGGAAATAAATTTAAAAGAAGCCCACCAAGAGATAATATTTCATTCCTAATCCAGTGCTTGGCCAGACTGCTTAGGTGGTTGTTTCTGGCATAATAGCCCAACTCCTTCTCTATTCTTTCAATCCTTCTCTTTATAGACAAAAATAGATGCTTGTATTTAATGATCCATTTCTAAGTACTGAAGTTGTCTTCTTCCATTTTTCATCTTTTGTATTTTCTGCAACCCATAACACGAACTTAGATATTGATAAATGCTTAATACATTTATCAAACGAAAAGTCAACTTTTGCTCAACAGAAATTCAAGATGAAAAGGAGGCTGAAGACTTTCAGGATCCAAGAGTAGACATTTAAAATTTTATCAGCTTTTTTTACTTGCGTTAGTAACTCGTATATTCCGCCAAAATCACGTGATTGTGGCACAAGAAAGACAAAATAAACGTGATTTTTGCTAAGCACCTCAGAGAAATGTATGATGCTGAGGAGGGAGTACGTGGATCCTAGGCCATTTAATGCGAGTCCCAGCAGCAAGTTATTTCTTTGCTCTCTACTCTACACTCTTTAGATTTCCGAAATAAAATTATCCCACCCGTAACTACGCCTATCTATATCACTATCACCCGCACAGACTATGTAAAATAATATTTCCCGAAAGAGAACTTCGCTGAGATCAAGTAATTTCGAGACTACAGCATGAATTCGGGAAATTAGTAAATGGGTTAAAAAAAATAAGAAATGCAATATTTCCGATTCAAGCTTATCATTATTCATTTTTACAGCATTCCAATCCGCCTTATGTTCATGAAATTTGTTGTTTAATGTGTTAAGATATTTCGATTTTTTTTATCGGCAAGTACAAGTCAATATCCGGATTATTATAAAACGGATACAAAACGGATATTACCCGTTTATCCGGGTAGATCCGAGTTGTATCCGAGTAAACGGGTAACGGGTCGCAGCTCTACACGGGTAATTGATTATTAATATTTTTCGGGACAGACAAATTTTGATTGAACCCGACATCCGATCCGATATGCGGATATCGCTTGTTTCTGGATTTTGTACTAAAAATAAACAAACTAAATAAACTATAACCGATAAACAAATACCGGACACTATTGT